CCAGCAAACCACCAATCCCAGGGGACATAGAAGAAACTGAATAAAGGAAGAACTGTTGATGCTAGAAATCCTGGAGTTACACAGCAAAATCAACAGCAAATATTAGACTGTTCATTCTGCACTTCTTGCAAATGGTCTGCTACTAATCTTAGAAGAATGAACAGTCATTTTTCCACTTTCAGGTGCACATCAAGCAATAGAGAAGACCATAGCTTGGATCAAGTGCACTGTTGTCTTCAGACTGATATCATTACTCTTTAGTACTCTGGAGAGTACTCTGGAGAGGTCCTTCACAGCTGATTTTCCCAATGCAACTCGTACTTTTATTTTTTTGACAGCTTTGTCAAGAGGCTGATTGTTGATCCAAGCAAGATTAAATCACTTTTTAATCTTTTCCCCATCTACCATGATGCTGCTATTGGCTCAGTGGTAAAGATCTTTTTGTTTTCTTGATGTTGAGATGCAATCTGTATTGAAGAAGGCAGTCCTTCTTTTGCAGCAAGAGCTTTAAGTTCTCAGTTTTGATTGTGTCGTCCACATAATTCAGGTTTGGGATGAATCTTCCTCCCATCCTGATGTCATATTCTTTTTCATAAAGTCCAGCCTCTTGAATGATCTGTTCCACATATAAGTTTAAAAGCTATGGAGAAAGTATATATTCCTTATGCACTCCTTTCTTGATTTTGAACCATGCAATGTTCCCTTGTTCTGCTTAGACAACAGTTTCTTGTTGTATGTATAAGTTTCACAGGAGTACAATCAGATGTTTCTGTGATTTCCATTTTTCTCAAGGTTAGCCACAAGTTGTTGTGATCCCCACAGTGAAGTGTCTTTACATAGTTGATAAAACACAAAGAGACATCATTTTGGTACTCTCTGCTTTCAGCCAAGATCCATCTGACATTGGCGGTGATATCTCTAGTTGATAGCATCCCTCAAGATAATTGTTGTTTTTCTTATGTGCCGTCAAGCTGACTCTGACTCATAGTGACCTTATGCACAATAGCTCTGAACTCTGCTCTATTCCAAGCCAATATCACTGCTTCTAACACACCTACCCTCATTATTCCAGTTACTGTATCAATCAATCTCATCTGATGTCTTCTTCTCTTGCACTGTCTCTCCCACCCTTCCAAGCACGAAGTCTTTCCCTAAGACTGATCCTTCCTAGCAACATGCCCAAAGTATATGATATGGCACTTCAAAATTCTTGCCTCCAAGGAGCAGATTGGCTTCATCCTCTATGGGCAGACCTGTTTGTTCTCTTAGCAGTCCAAGATATATTCAATATTCTAGCACCATAACTCAAAGGCATCAATTCTTGTATGATTGTTGGTCATTGTCCAGCTGTCTAATACATAACAAGTAAGAGCAAAGATTATGACCTGTATCAAATGCACCTTAGTTTCTTGATTGATTGCTCTTCAGAACTCTAGAGAAGTTTGTGACAGCAGATTTTCCTAACGTAATTCATCTTTTGATTGTCTGTCTGCTGCTGTCAAAAGTGTTGACTGTGGAACCAAACAAGCTAAAACTGTTAACAACTTCAACCTCTTCTCCTTCTATCATGGTGCTGCCAATTGGCCCTGTAGTAAGATTCTTTGTTTTCTTGGTGTTGAGTTTTAACCCACATTGTAGACCAGAGTTTTTACCTTCTATAGCAAATGTTTCACGCTCCATCAGTTTCAGCAAGCAGAGTTGTGTCATCTACATAATTCAGGTTGTTGATTAGTCTTCCTCCAATCCTGATGCCACATTCCTCCTCAGTTGTTACTATTTATTGGCATGCCTATTTTGAGTCAGAAGCATATGTATTTAATATATATTATATTAATTAAATGTTACTCTTATTTTCAAAGTTTACTGATTAGAACCAATGGTTGAGGGACAGGAAGTGACTGATGCCCCACACCTAACAACGGTCATTAATTGGCCAAGATTACTCCCATTGGTGATACTGATCTATCACAATTTTACTTTTAATCACACTTTATTCTTTTCTGAGATTTTCTTCTGAGATACTCTCTTCTGTCTTTGTTCTCCAAAAATGTACCTGGAGCAAGTGTTCCTTAAAAACTACTATGGTAACTACAGATAATTACTTAGGGTTATAAGACAAGTAATAAATAGCAGGCTACATTATTTATAGCATTAGCACTGAACCACTAAGATAAGCTGAAAAGAATTTCAGCAACTTCAAGAAGGGTTTTTTTTAGACTTTTAATGTGTTTAGGTATCTCTACTTTCTTCTTTGTGGATCAACTCATACCTGCTAGATGTTCTTGATTTTAAAGAAAACAAAATGGACCCTAATTTCTCACTGGGAGAAATCATACAACCCTTTGGCCACATCTACTCTTCCACATGGGTTGTAATCACAGGTGAAATGGATGTTTCTGTGCTTGTTTATCTGGCCTCAGTTGGAGGCAGTGCCTGGGCTAAAAAGAGTGCCATAGTTTCAGTAAAGAGGTTGACAATTTCCTTGAAAATGTAACAAAAGCCTAGAGGAAGACTCTCTCAAAGAGAAAATTGGAAATGAATGCTGGAGAGTCACAAAGAGCTCCCAAAGTAGGCCCTTGTGAAAGTGAATAATGAGAAGCATAGACTAGTTCCTTCATGCTGAGCTCAACACATATCTTTAAACATATGGTTGTTGAGGAAGCAGATACTCAGAAACCCTTTCATCTTAATTAAAGTTATGTGGGCTATGAAATACTTTTCCTTTATATTAAGTCCTTATTCCTGTGGAGAAATTTCTATTTGTTTTTATCTAATTTGAGTTTCAAGGTTAATCTCGATTTAAGACTTTCAGTTACTGGGAAAGACAGTCCATCCAGTTTTCCCCTCATCCCATGTATATGCATGCATCCACCAGGGCCCCCGCTGAGCTCCAAAATTCCTTCTAGCTGTGCATTCTTTACTCTGTTCCCCTCGACAGAAAGAATGGGCTGTGTATCTGTGAAGGATATATGGAATGAGGAGGATTTTGTAAAAGGCCACAAAGTTTTCTATTTTAGGGAACTACATGCCCCAGTCCTTAAATGTGGAGTTTCTGGTAACACTTACTCTGTGATGTAGAGCCTGGGAGGTTTGTACATCAGGAAGAACAGGAGGAAGAGAGAGACATTGAAGCAAAGAAAGGGAAAGCATCTCATTCCTGAAAGGGTTTTTTGCAGACCTTGAGACAAGTGATAAATCATATTGCTTGGAAAACCACACTCTCTAATTTTATTCAATAAATATGTTTTTGCTCAAATTGAACTGATGATGGAAGTGATTTATTTCAAAAAGAGTAAGAAAACAAATAAGTTGTTGGAGATTTTATTTGAGTGGATCATAATTTTCATTTTACACTCCAACTTTGCCATTGAATGAATCCTATGGCAACCCTATGTGTGTAATGGTGAACGCATGCTCAGTAGGGCTGTCAATGGCTGATGTTGTAGAAGTAAGTCACCAGGTTTTTCTTCAGAGGCCTCTCTAGGAGAGCTTTTGGCTAACAGATTCGCTTTGACCTTTTTTACCACCCAGAGCTGAACAAGATGATAATGTGTCTTAAACATCATAATTTTACTTACTCATTTGGTGTTATTAAGTTAGAACTGACTCTCTACTGACTCTTCACTGGGTTTCTAAGACTGTAAATCATGTAGGAAGATATAGCCCATCTTTCTCCTTTGGAACTGCTAGTGGGTTTGAACCACCAGATATAGCCTTTGGATTAGTAGAGCAACTCCTAATGTTATGTTAGGTACAACCTGCTGTCCTCCTGAGGTTTAACTCATTCTCCTTCCTTCCCTCGAATCTTTTAGATTAAGTGTTTTAGAAAGACTTACACCAGCTGACTCAGAATCTCATGGGTATTTTTATTTATTTATTTATTTCTTAAATTTTGTGTGTGTCTACCGTCAAATTAGATCTGATCTGACTGGTACAGGAGGAAATTGCCCCTCCTTCTCCAGCAAAGCATCTGGTGGATTTGAACCTTATACCTCTGGGATTGTAGTGCAGCTTCTTGTCACTAGGCCACCAGAGCTCCCTAACCTACCTTTCTTAAGCTATGAAAGAATGATATT